ATTCCATTTCTCTGGATCCTGTAAGTGCTCCAAGCTCTGTGGAAAGAGACGTGAGGATAGAGAAACTGATACCTCTTTTGAAGGTAGCCCATTTCTTAGTCTCATTCAAGCCCTAAAAGGAGTCCACAGTATGAGTTTTAATCTGCTACTCACCTCGTAAACACAGGTACTGTCTTACGGTTAGTATCTTGTCCTAGTCCAATAAAATTGTTTAACAGAATGTATTTTTGTGGATCTTAAGTTCAGCTTCCGGTAGATACTTGTTTTATAAGATATTTGATACATTGGCTGAGTGGTGATAGTAAAATTACATCCCAGTTCATTGAGTTCATAGCTTCCTAACAGTTTTTTTCATAATTTTTAAAGGAAATTATCAATGACATCAAATATTTTCTAGTCCAGTATTTTTTAATTAAACATGGCATATATAAAAACTCTCCTGAATTTTGCAAGAAATTGTTCAGAGTTATTCTAAATCAATACACCTCTTTTCCCTCCTCGAGGGAGAGACAGAGTTCTCCCCAGTTTTTATGTAACCAGGGGACAATTGCCACCCTTCCTGGACAGAGTTCCTCTGCTCTGGCCAAGATCCACACTTCAAAATTACCCTGGTGGGTAGGGAGGAATGGGACCAGGGAAGACACTTGAAGGTGCTTTCAAAGGCCTCTACTTCCTTTAGGTGCTTCAGAGCATCCTAGTCTCTGACTTCTTAACATTTAGAAAAATCGACCCTTGGAAGTAAAATTTGGGTTTCTTAGGAATGGAGAGAGAGTATGTGTATTTTTTTTTTCCTTTGAAGTATGTGCTCTTGTTGGAATGGTTTCTTTTTTGTTCACTGGGGAAGACTGATTGTAGAGGCTGCATGCTGTTACCATGTGTTAAGAGTAAAAGGGGCTGTGAGCACCATGTTCTTATTCTCCCTTAGAGTCTTCTATTTTTCAACCTATCATTGCACCCAGAGGATATGGCAAAGTAGACACATCAGCTAATTATATGAAATACAATTTATTGACTTCTTTGACACAGCAGAATTTTAACCAGGTGCATATCAAAATTATGTTTCCATGTGTTTCAAGCTAGTTTCTGTGACTACTTCAGTTTAGTTTACTGACCAAGCTAGAGCCCAGAGATGAGAGCTCCTAAAGTCTGGTTCTCATATTTGAGGATTCCAGAAAAGTCCTACACTCACAGTGCCAAATGGCCTGATTAAACACAGATAAATGTTTCTTCCAAAATACGTTATGCACAAATAGTCAAGGTGCACAGCCATTTGAGAAGTCTGCTATTTTAAAACCTGTTTGTGGCATTTTGCAAGGCTGCTGTGCCTTGGATAGATATCTCTCTATCTCTTGGCGAGGCAGTACCTGTGTATTTCCCTCCTTGTTGGCTACCTCATTTTCATTTTATATATATATTTTTTTCTCCTGGTGGAAAGGAGAGACAGGTGCCTCTTAGAATTATTTCACAGCAAACCTTCGTAAGTTCTTGTTGCCTGTTTCACGTAGAAAGGTTGATTTGTAGCTGCTGTCTTTCTCTTCCTAATAAACCTTGTGGGCGGTGAAGATCTAGGAGAGTGAAACATTAAAAATGAATGAAGAGAACTGGAGTAGTTGGTCTAAGGTGGGGGTTGAGAGGGGCCGGGTGGAGGAGGTTTAACAAAAGGCATTGATGTTTTAAATGCACAGAAATGCCATCTATCAATAATAAATGGTGTGGCATAGAACAGATGTGCCAAATTGAGTTATGACGGCATATAGATTAGTTCATAGAGGGGAAAAGTAAGTAGCATAGCTAGCGTTTTTAAATTATCTTTGTGTGAGCTTTTGAAATACAATTTTGAATATTCAATTTTTATTTTCTAGTGGCTGCTAGCTGGAAATATTAAAAGTTTGGTGTTTTTTAAAATTCCAATTAAATTTTTTGTGCATGTTTCTAAAGTAAGAGTTAAGAATGAATAAATTTTGCTTTTCTGAAGAGGAAGACAGTCTGAAAAGGAATTTCTTGCCCTTCATTGGCTGAGTGCTTGCCTTTTGAAAGCTCATGTTGTAATTGTTATGAGGAATGAAATTGCATTATAAAACTTAAGTCATGTGAAACTATTACCCAGTGTTTTCTAAATTTACATTGATTGTATCTCTAGGTACCTGTTCAGTGCATATTTAAACTATAAGGGACTACTCAGGAAACCCACTTATGCTTTACAATCAATTCATCACCCTCAGCATTTTGATTCGAGGAATAATTCTACACATATGCTCTGTGTACAAATTACCTTGCTCGGTAGGGAAACGAGAAATATCCACTTGTCTCCGAGCAAATCACTACTAGTAAATTGGAAAGACAAATCTGTTAGGTTAACTAGAATATTTTGTAGGTGTAGATACTAGAGCAGAAGACAAGTTTTGAGCTGCTAGATAGGTAGGAGTTATGGTTAATGTCACTGGCATAGCAGAGTACAATAATGTGGGAGGTGTTTGAAATGAATCCTGAGTTCCTGAGTTGGAATTGTTGTGCTTAATGAAAAAAACAGTCATGATGAGACGAATGGAACCATTCCGTTCATCTCAATATGGACCCTTGCTTGCTTTTTGGAAACTTGTTTGGAATCAGTTACCTTTGCTTTGTTGGCCCAACACAAGTAAATCCTCTTTGTTTTTCCTAAGGTGAACAAAAAAGTAGTTCTTGCACATAATATCAAGTTGGTTTAAATTTTAGGTTAGACTAGAGAGACCAATTAGCCGTTGTTGAAGAGGTTAATCATTGAGTGGATGTTACAGGTGAAAATGATCAGAGTGATTATATAAAAAGTCTATTACTAACTCTTATTTTAGCCATCTGTATTGTTAACGTTCAGTTTTTTCAGGTGTAAGATTTTCTTGAATCAATCTTTTCATCTCCAAGGGATCCCAGCATGCCTTAAAAAAAAACACTTGTCAACTGATTTTAGAGCCACCAAATAAAGCTATTTTACGGCCCCGTTAGATATCTAGCTGCAAACCCCCACTCACTCTGAAAAGACCTATGGTTGGATGCACAACAAATTTCCTGAAATCATCTCTGATGCACCTCCTTTGGGTTGTTAAGAAGGTGTTGAAATGTGAGAAGGCTGGTAGTGAAATCAAGTTGTGGCTCAGGGTAATTAGGAAGGGAGAAAACTCAGCATTTTCATAGTACATTGTCTGGCTTTTAGTTGCAGCTGCAAACAACGGATATGAATTTAACCAGTTGCTACAGTGCAGCTGGTTCAGATCTGGCTTTATAGCTGGCTGAAGTAAAATGAAATGGCTGGAAAATTCCAGTCAAGTAACACCAGTGGGAACATGTGGAATTAAATAGTGTGAGCAAATGCTGGCCGAGTTAGAGAAAAACTTCAGACATAAACTTGAGGGTGGTGGTGAGGACTTCAGGGGGGCCATTTTCTGGTCTTTTTCACAAGAGTCTATTGTTTTGATTAGTTTCCTTGCAGGGGGTAGGTTTCCTCCATCCAGGGTAATTCATAGGGTGTTTGGCCTGTATACCTTCCTCCTGACTGAAATCACCTGATAGTTTTTGTTTTTTCAAGAAGGAAGAGAGAACCCTGTTGCCTCAGTTACTAGCAATGATGCAAATCTCAAAATGTGGTCTTTTTTCTTTGAAATAGGTTCTCCTTGTTGTGTGACATAGCAGCCCCTGTCTCTTCATAGTTACCTTCCCTCCACCACCTGTACCAGAGATGTTGGATATGTTGGAGGTGAAGGTGTGCAAGGTTTTTAAATAACTCTTCTAATTAAAGGATTCTGCAGGAAAGAACATGGATTTACAAAAGAGAGGCTTTTGTATTATTAGTAATTTTTTTTATTTGATGAATTTATGTGCTTAGTTTGGAGAATCGAGAGTTGGCTGGGAGAAGATTTCTGAGGAGTTAAGGGACTCTGGTGCTGTTTGGGAAAACATTTGCTGTAACTAGGTTTAGGGTATTGAGTCTCTGCCAGTGCTTAGGAGCTATATTTGCCAGGTGATTTCCCTGTCACAGGGATTAGCCAGTGATGTGAAACATTTGATGAAGGGACTAATAGAAATCTTTCCTGGGGTACATGAGTCGTGGCTGTTACTGGGGTGCCCCTTCCTCAACTCTTTCTCTTTGTATTTCTAATGAGTAAGTTTGTAGTGGTGAGTCATGGGATATGGTTTTTTAGTTCTACGAAGAATCTTTGTAGGAAGCAAAGTTCTGTTAGGTATATTGTTAATTAAGCCCCTTAAAGTTTCTGCATCATAACTTAGAAACGAACCTTGTTCTTTTCTCAGAACTATGCCATGTGGAAGGAGACAAGATATAAATTATCAAAAAAAATTGCCCATAATCTGGCCTGGCACAGTGGCTCATGCCTGTAATCCCAGCAGTCTGGGAGATGATGGTGGGAGGATCACTTGAGGCCAGGAGTTCAAGACCAGCCTGGGCAACATGGCGAGGAACCCCCGACCTCTGCCGCCTCCCTCCCCCCGTCCAGCCCCCCACCAACCCCATCACTTCGAAGTTTTTTAAATCAGCCAGGCATGGTGGCATATGCCCTTAGTCCTGTGGACTCAGGAGGCTGAGGTGGGAATGCCCTTTGAGTCCAGGAGTTGAATGTTGCAGTGAGCTATGAATATGCCACCGCACTGTAGCCTGGGCAAGAGAGTGGACCCCATCGCTTAAAACAAAAACAGAAAGAAAGAAAGCAAGCCTGTATTCTGATAGCAACACTGCTCGCTCACGCTCTTTCTCTTAGGAAAGTAAAAAAGTTTTGTCTTGATGTACATTGCCTGGATTTATGTTAAATTTTAATTCTAAATATATGGGACTTTAAAAAATGTTTTCTGAAAGTGATACCCATTTTTGAGGTACAAGCAGTTGGGTCCATTTTGGAGATACTGCCTTAAGCCATTCAACTTCAAAATGGATGGGAGCTCTTGCTACAGAGAGTTACCCCATTCTGCTTCCCTCCCATTCTGTTAAACCTTGTACATGCTCCTTCCCACAGATCACTATTATCTTCAAAGCCCACCATGAGTGTACAGATCAGAAAGTCTACCAAGCTGTGACAGATGACCTGCCAGCCGCCTTTGTGGATGGCACCACCAGTGGTGGGGACGGCGATGCCAAGAGCCTGCGTATCGTGGAGAGGGAGAGTGGCCACTATGTGGAGATGCACGCCCTCTATATAGGGACCACAGTGTTTGTACGGCAAGTGGGTCGCTACCTGACCCTTGCCATCCGTATGCCTGAAGACCTGGCCATGTCTTACGAGGAGAGCCAGGACCTGCAGCTGTGCATGAATGGCTGCCCCGTGAGTGAACGCATCGATGATGGGCAGGGCCAGGTGTCTGCCATCCTGGGACACAGCCTGCCTCGCACCTCCTTGGTGCAGGCCTGGCCTGGCTACACACTGGAGACTGCCAACACTCAATGCCATGAGAAGATGCCAGTGAAGGACATCTATTTCCAGTCCTGTGTCTTCGACCTGCTCACCACTGGTGATGCCAACTTTACCGCCGCAGCCCACAGTGCCTTGGAGGACGTGGAGGCCCTGCACCCGAGGAAGGAACGCTGGCACATTTTCCCCAGCAGTAGAAATGGGACTCCCCATGGAGGCAGTGAATTGTCTGTCAGTCTAGGACTCACATGCTTGATCCTTATCGTGTTTTTGTAGGGGTTGTCTTTTGTTTTGTTTTTTTATTTTTTGTCTATAACAAAATTTTAAAATATGTATTGTCATAATATATTGAGTAAAAGAGTATATATGTATATACCATGTATATGACAGGACGTTTGTCCTGGGACACCCACCAGATTGTACATATTGTGTTTGGCTGTTTTCACATATGTTGTATGTAGTATTCTTTGATTGTATCAATTTTGTTTTGCAGTTTTGTGAAATGTTTTATAATGTCCCTGCCCAGGGACCTGTTAGAAAGCACTTTATTTTTTATATATTAAATATTTATGTGTGTGCTTGGTTAATATGTGTAGTACATATACACAGACACCCATACGCAGCGTTTCCTTTGAAGTGACCAGTTGTTTGTAGCTATTCTTGGCTGTACCCTCCTGCCCTTTCCCATTGCTACTGATTTGCCATGGTGTGCAGCTTTTACTCGCCACCTTCCGGTGGAGCTGCCTTGTTCCTTTGAACTATGCCCTCACCCTTCTGCCCTCACTTGATTTGAAAGGATCGTTAACTCTCCCTTACAGGTACTTTGACTCTTAAACACTGATCTTCAGAAGCTCTCTTCCGGTCTAACAGCTGTTACTTTTTCAGAACGGAGGGTATTACTGGTATTCTGATTACTCTCAATTCTAATTGTTATATATTTGAGCCCATACAGTGTATTAGGTTGAACCACAGAAACTGTTGTTCTTGTAGGTCAAAAAGGTGTAGTGATGGCAGTTTTCGTAGATAAGTACCAGGCATCTTGCTAGACCTCAGAAACTCCCAGACTTTTTCTCATCCCATGCCCCTTTTTAAATGGTCAGTTTTTCCTCTGACTCTTCTGTGTTAAAACATGAAACTATACATTTAGTAATTATCATGCCTTGCTCTTTTTTTAATCTGTATGACTGGCGCAAGCCCCTGATCTTAACCTTTTCTTGGCTGTCAAACCCAGAAACACACAGCTCTCCCTGTCTCCACCTCCAGTAAGCCCTCCTCAACTTCACCTTACGAATCCAAAGAACTGGGTTCTTTCTCTAATGTAGAGGCCCAGATCCCATCACAAAGTTTTTCATTCTTCCTTGTCCACCATGATCTTCATCACAGTCTTTGATGTGTCTGCATGCAAAGTGGAACAGAGTGGGGCAGCAATGACAGAAAAGCTTCCTTGGCCTGACTCAGTGTGTGGCCACTTCGGCACTGCTTAATCGAGATATTCTTGTTAACTAAGCATTGTGCTGCTTCCCAGGTGGTCTCTGAAGTCAGGTACTCTCCCTCTTCACACCTGTAATTGAATATTATTTAGTCAGTTGCTCATTGTAACTTGGAGAAATTTCTATAAAGTATGATCTCTCCTTGCCTTTTCCATTCCATTGTTGGCACCCCCTTGGAAAAGGAAAAGAACAGCAAAAGGCAGGAACCGTAATCTGAGAAAGTTAACTCCAGAATAGGTAGATTTCTATTGTTATATCTAGATGGAAATCTTTGGTTCTAACAAGAAGTGATACAGTTTGTGCTTTAATAATTTATTGATAAGTTTACATAAACAAATAAAAGGTACGAACTTTAAATACAGTAGTAGTTTATGCCAAGATTATGCTTAGTTTTAGGTCTCCAGGTAGTTACTTTTGCCATGTCCTATTGATCAGTGACACTGCCAGAGGCCCAGACTGGCAGGAAAAAGAGGACGTCGTTTTGTAAAGTTTTATTTCTTAGTGAACTGATGTGCCATCCAGTCACAGAGTGGAGTTGTGAATTCATGTAGAGGTGGCAAACTTCTACCTTGTGTTTATAGGAATAATCTTGGGCAGTTTGGGAAAATAAGGAAGGCATCTGCTTCTTTCTTATAGATTCAACTGTAGAGAGTTGAAACCTAAACCCACCTTCCTTTTACAGAAGCTGGACTGGGGACTGACTGACCATCAGCTCTGAACTGTGGCTTTTTTTGTTCACCTGTGGAGCCATGTACCAAATTCAGAAGCTATTGTTGATAATTTGTTTTATAATTGAGTAGTACAAGTGAGGAAAAATACAGAGGATACTTTAACCACTATTTTTGTGCAAATACGAAAGTGAACTAAAAGCAATAGAAGAAATTTCTATAGGATCTGGGTTTAGAGTGTATATGATTAATAAATATACCTTTGCTCTTTACAGGGAAAATTACAAAACCACCCTTACTGATAGTTGGGAAATGAAGATTGGGTTATTTTGCCATATGTAGCTGGAAGTGACACTTCAAAGCACCCTGCATCACTAGTAATAGTGTATTTTGCTATTCTCCCCTTATAATCGGTGTCCCTGTAAAACAATCCCCACAGATTACAAATAGATGTACTTCTCTACATAAGGGCCAGGTTTATTTTCTCCTGAGATTTCTAGAAAAAAAATGCTGCTTGCACATGTTGGTTCTTGAAACCTTAGCTAGAAGAGTTTCAGGTCATGCCAACATGTGGATAGGCTGTAGCTGTTCAGAGGTCTCCCGGGGGAGCTTAAACCGGGGGAAACACTGGTTTTCACAGATGCTTCACATGGCTGTCTTTAAAAGACTCAAAACTTGTTGTCCTCTTTGTTATGCTTGGAACCCCCCCCCCACAGTGTGTCGAGTCTTTGCAAAGAAACCTTTAGATGTGGTTCATAGATATATGAATACGTATCTGTGTAAAACAGTGAGCGTGCAGTGTGTAAATACTTTAAATTATTACGCTAGAAAAATAAAGTTACATACCATACTGTGGAATGTCTGTTCTGTGATTATAGGGACACCTGCTGGAAGAACTGAGAACTGCAGAAGAAAGGGAGTCGGGGGAGGGTGGGATTGTATAAAATCCCTAAAGGTTGCTGATAAGTCATACCACCTGCCCACAATTTCACTGATTTTCAAAACTATAGCACTACTGTCTTTTTTTTCTTTTAAAATTTTAAGCAGTTACAAATCAGTATCTGTAAGACTTGTCCACTAGTATTGTCCCAAAGTTCTGTCTTTAGTAACAACTTTGGTCCCTTGAAGACATGCAGCCTGCACTCTAGTTCTTTTTAAGGCAATATGAACCGTAACAACTTCCTCCTGGTGGGGAGGATTTGAGAGGGCAGTATTTTCTGGCTTTGAAAACATAAAGTCTCACTTCTTGGGCTTTAAAAAGAGACATCAAGAGATCATAAGTTGGTCTTTGTTCAAGAAACACACCAAAGAGTAGAAAAGTTAGGAAAATAAACGAAAGGCACAGGAAAGCAGTGTTACTTGTATTAGGTAGAATACTAAATGGATCAAATTCTGATTGGGGTAAACATACATCATTTCTTCTTCTTTCTTTTTTTTCTTTTTTTTCTTCTTTTTGTTTTTGGAGACGGGGTCTCACTCTGTCACCCAGGCCGGAGTGCAGTGGTGCAATCTCAGCTCACTGCAGCCTCGACTTCCTGGGTTCAAGTGATGCCCCCAAGTAGCTGGGACTACAGGTGCCCAGCTACTTTGTGTATTTTTTGTAGAGACTGAAGACAGGGTTTCACCATGTTGCCCAGGCTGGTCTTAAACTCCTGGACTCAAGCAATCTGCCCGCTTCAGCCTCCCAAAGTGCTGGGATTACAGGCATGAGCCACCATACCTGGCCATAATCATTCCTTAAAGAAATAAGCTTAATCATTGCAGTTGGTTATTTACATGCAGTAGTTCAGAGCAAAAAAAAAAAAAAAAATCATGTCAGCTGAACAACATAAAATAGGAATGAAGTGACATAGTCACTGAGTACCCAGTGATGTGTCTGTGCTGAATGAATGCAAATAATCTATAGCACAATGAAATGTACTATAGACTATTTGACTTTTATGCTTAAAAGTCAAAAATAATTCTTTACCATTCTCTCTTCATTCCCAGAACTCCAGCTCTTTGGGAATGAAACTTCAACTCCAAAATCTCAACAGTGACACAACCCTAAGAGTCCTGTTATCTGATTTATTTTTTGTCTTATTTTTAATTTTGTAGCATTGGCAGCATTCTGTTGTCTGGGGTTAGCCGGAATAACACAGTATTGGATTGCTGCTGTCCTTTCTGAGCAAAGATACCTTGCTGCAGATTTTCTCCCTGTTCTATTTGTATGTGAACCAATGTCTCCCCCACAGAGAAAGTAATCGGGATGTTCAAGGAGCAGTTCAAAGTTCTTTATTATTTCACTACCTAACTCATCATATTGTTTCTTTCTGCTTCTATCCCTTTTCTGTATGTCTTCCAAATGGACAAGTCACATGCAAACAATTGTTATTATTTAGATGGTATTTTCCTTTAAATTTACTGCTCTTTGGCTGGGCACAGTGGCTGATGCCTATAAACCCAGCACTTTGGAAGGTTGAGGCGGGCAGATCCCTTGAGGTCAGGAGTTTGAGACCAGCCTGGCCAACATGGTGAAACTACCATCTCTACTAAAAATACAAAAATTAGCTAGGTGCGGCGGTGTGCACATGTAATCCCAGCTACACGGGAGGCTGAGGTAGGAGAATCGCTTGAACCCAGGAGGCAGAGGTTGCGGTGAGCTGAGATCATGCTACTGCACTCTAGTCTGGGTGACAGAGCGAGACTTTAAAAAAAAAAAAAAATTCTGCTCTTCTTCCCCCAAGTACCTCTAATAAGCATGCCATTTGATACTATCAACTAAATAATAGAATATGCTGTCCTTTGTACCCAAAAGGTTATGTCATGGCTCCCTGCCAGTGAAATATGTGCTTGGGGTGGTGATGTGTTTGTGTCTCACCTCCCTTAAGATCATGCTACAGATTTACAAGAAGACTGGGGCGTCCAGCACCCAGCAGGATACGCTAACATTCTACAAAGCCAGAATGGCTGCCCTCAGCCTCCTTGGAATGATGTTAAAGCAACTGAGTAAACTGGTCCTGCCAACTGCAATGTAATAAAGTAGGTCTATCAAACTTCAGCAGGAAGAAAGCAACAGGGCAATATTTTCTAACTGAATTCTTCATGGGTAATATTTCTCTGACCCATTTTTTATTTCAGTAATGAAAACTCCAACTCCAGAAAGAAAAAAAAAAAAAAAAAAGCATTCTGCTACCAGATTGAGTATACAAGACCTAGCCACAGATGAATTAACCAAGTAGGAATTGCACCTGCCATAGATGACATTTTCAGAACATTATCTCAATCAATAATGTAACACTACCAAGGGAAATGGTGCTATTTGATAACCCAGAGGGTTTCCAAAGCCTTCTAACAGGAAGCAGTAAGGTGGGATTCACTGAAGGGGGAGATGGAGAGGGACAATAAATTTATTTTCTAGTGAGCCCTTCTTTTGTGCTGCTAAATAGCAATGCCATTAATGCAGGGTTGGTCATCAGCACAGTGAGGACTGTGAGTAGAGCTATTGATTGGCTCACCCTAAGTGCAAGGGAAAGATTCTCGGCCTAAGTCAGCTCATGAATGTCCATCTTCCTTCTTGGAAAGGAAAAGGAAAAAGGAGTGAAACAATTTGGGGCAGCCTGCAATACACGATCCTTAGCATCCTGTCACATTGGAAACCTGGATGACATCTGGAGGTTAGGAAAGTATACCTGGGGAGCTGGGAGGAAGGGTGGCAATAGGACAGGAAGCGTTCACAAAGCAAAATGACAAATGTGGAATGCATTCTGGTTACATTTTGAGCCGCAGGCCATTATGAAGGGTTCATTTGTGCATGGTCATTTATTTTATATATTCTGCCTTGAGGCAGCATACCATAGTGGTCAATATTATGGGCTGTAGAGTAGACAGTTCTGAGTTTAAATCCACCTACTTTACCAGTTATGTGGCCTTAGACGTGCCAAGCTGTACTTAAGCTTCAGTTTCCTCATGTTTACAATAAGAATTCTAAAAGAAATTCATACCTCCAACATTCATTGTGAGGTTCAATTTGTTGCATTTTAAAGTTTTTAGCATAGGACCTGATACAAACCTAGTGCTCAACCTACTTTACTCAGAAATGGACCTAAGATGGATAGTTAGTTGTATTTTCACCTTTGGGAACTGGCAAACCTATGAACTATTCCTAGAATGAAATTTGCATGTATGCCCCTGTGAACATCCAAGAATTTAGGACGCGGCCACAGTTCTGCATAGTTTATTCACATCTATGAGGGAGATGTGCTGTGCACATGGTTCCTTGGAAGAGTGCACGAGACCAAATGCAAAACCTGTGCATATCAGGTGCTTCCTACTGGATCCCTCACTGCAGCCACCCCAGAAATCCAGCAAACATTCTTTAAAGCACCTACTAAAAAAATAACCCTGACTTGTGAGTAACCATTTGCCCCGGACATAACTTCAGGAATTAGGGATAAACTGGGGACAGAAAGAACTCTGAGGAAAAGCTGCTAATGGAGAAATTATTGCTAGTGATTGCTGGTCATGTATTATACAGCTTGGCAAATCGCAGTCCCAGTGTAGAGAGCACCTAACTTTGGGAAAGGACACTCTGAAATGTTTTGATAGATGGGGTTGTATATAAGTGGTGTGGAAACTGGGCTTCCAGGGCTCACATCATCTCCATAACTCTTATCCACAGATCCCTTCTCGTTGTTCAGCCTAGGCCAATGATAGCATTCTTACCTTCTCAGAATTGCTTGAAATAGACAATGAAGAAAAGAAAGAGAATAGGCTGTCTGCCATGAAGGCTGACAGATTTAAATTGGCCCAATTAAGCAATGCCCTTCTCCTCTCTGATCTTAAAATGGTTTTCAAATGTGAGAGGTGAGAGGAGCTGTGAGAAATTTTACACAGGTGCTCAATAAAAAGGCAACATGGGAAAAAATAATGAAAAGATGTCAAAAAAAAACTATAAAAATGACAGAAATGGGAAAGAGAATGTGGAGCAAGTGACAGAGAAGGGTGAAAGGGAGATGATTAGGAAAGTTGTATACAGTTAATAGAAACACTGATTACAGGCAATGCTTGAGGTGTTTATGGAGAAGAGCAGTGACAAGGAGCAACCATGTATTCTTTCATATCATGACTTTTAAAATTTATTTTATTATGTATTTATTTTATTTCTTTCTTTTTTTTGAGACAAGAGTCTCACTCTGTTGCCAGGCTGGAGTGCAGTGGCTCCATCTCGGTTCACTGCACTCTCCATCTCCCAAGTTCAAGTGATTCTTCTGCGGCAGCCTCCTGAGTAGCTGGGATTACAGGCGCCCGCCACCACACCTGGCTAATTTTGTATTTTTAGTACAGACTGGGTTTCATCATGTTGGCCAGGATGGTCTCAATCTCCTGACCTCATAATCCGCCCCCCTCAGCCTCCCAAAGTGCTGGGATTATAGGCATGAACCACCACGCCCACTTTAAAATTTATTATAGATCCCTCAAGCATTAGAGAGCATAACTGGCCAAGACTGGTTTTGTTAACAAAATCTAATTTGGACTATCTCCAGCATGAAGGGAGAAAGGAGGGATTTATTTTATGGTCACAGAGGTACCTTGTGGAACCCAAGGGCAGGAATGGAGCCTGGGAAGCTGTTAGGATCTCATCTTCTGACTCTAAAGTCACTTTCTCCTCTCCCTCTCAGCAAGCTGACTTCTCTGCCTCGCAGGTACTCATGGTGGAACATGGCCACCTCACAGAGTTATAGTTTTATCCACCTACAGAGAGTTCACAGCCTCAGCAGAGAATCCCTTTGGCTCAGCTTAGGTCAGGTAAGATAGCATAATACAAAAAGAGCAGCGGGCATCTCCCTCATTTCACCACAGGCCTCCATGAATTTTTG